CCCCAAAACCCCAAAACCCCAAAACCCCAAGAGAAAGCATTAAGCAGTGATTAAAATGTGCCTTATATAATTTTTCAATTAAATATACTTGATTTCAAATATAAATGATTCAATCTTTTTTAATAAATAAGAGAAAGACTCGTGGGGGTATAGTGAGTTAATCCTTTTAAAACTTAGATCAATTTATTCAACAGCATTTGACTCATTATAAAACAGAATGCCATACTCCGGATCTTTTGAGTCCAAAAAATCAAAGCAAATAATTTTCTAGAAAGAATAGCTTTAGTAAATATTTGTGCGAACAGAATCTGCATGAGGATCAACAAGGTGCATAATAAATTTTTACAATGAAAACTGGCTTTATAGATCTTAACAAAACACAATCTAAAGAACAGTGCTTTTTTAAGAAATCTAATGTCGAATCTAAGACAAATGATCATTTGAAGAAAATTTTCCATTTAAGGCAGATTCTCCAAAGCTAGCGATAAAAATCAGAAACCAAATAAAAAGAGTTTCCGAGCCAAGCTCAAAAGACTATTGAAGAGCTGAGGGAAATGTTACAAAATAGAAAGCTAGGTTGTAAAACTAAAAATGAACGTCTAAGGCTCTCACCATTGAGTGAATAAAAATTTACCAATAATAGTAGGCCTAGTTAGTAGGAAGAATCATCATAAATACTTAATCAATAGGCGGCACCACTAAATCAATTGATATAAAAATAATCAACAAGCAATAATTCTATTAATAAGAGGGTATGTCTGAGTCCACATAAAAATAACATCTCTTTTGCAGAATCTTTCACTAGTCCTCATATTTTAAAATCAAGAATCATACTTGAAAATTCGAGCAAATCAAGGCAAGATTCAATTACAAAAAGAAAAAAATTCTCGAAAAAAATTAATCAAAGCTAAGATTTCGCGTCATAGCAATAACATTAAATATACTAAGCACTATTATTACCCACGTGTTAATTCAACTTCAATGTAGAATTAGCTAATCGAAGTGTAATGCAGCTTACTCAAGATGAAAATTAATCTCAAAACAGAAAATCAGCTAAAAATCTTGACGTTCAACAGGGTATTAATTTTGAGGGAAAGTCTTATTTTTCACAATAAGAATCCAGCTATGGAGCCCATAATCAAAGAGAATAAAATAAATGTTTTTAATAGCAAGTTTCATTTTAAAATGAAATTCCAATTTCAGCTTCAGCTTCTTCAGGCAAAAAAGAAAAGATCTCAAACTTTAATTTAGGAGTTTCTAATTAGAGCTTTCTGAAAATTAAATAGATCAGTAGCTAAAAGTAGGATTGCTCAACTCAGACTGACGAATCTAACCTATAGATTGTTAAACTGAAAGAGCCAAAGATTAAGTTAAAAAATACTAACATTAAAAAGAGAATAGAAGAAAAATCATCATCTGAGGAGGAAATATAATAAAGTACTTAACCTACATAGGTAATTCGCATCGTTGTTAGAAAAAAGACTGATTATAAGAAAAAATTTGATATCACATTAGATGATATAACTCCATGGGAGTGATAAGATATTATTCCAAAGTCAATTATTTTCATTTTATCTATTGCTATAATATAAATTAAAGCTTTAAATTTAATAAAAACAATTATTTCAAATTATGATTTATTTCTTTTTTTGATTGTTTCCAGTTGAAAATTATGTTTATACATGGGGTTTTGGGGTTTTGGGGTTTTGGGGTTTTGGGG